GCTTGAACCACTCCATTGACATGGCTCTTATCAAGGTCACCATTGACCTCCATGTTTCTGAACCTAATGATTGATTCTCTGCAGATTTGGACGTAGGGCTTTCTTTCCTCCTGTAACTCTTGCTTCCCTTGGCTTCCAGGGCATTCTATCTCTTTGGATGCTTTTTATTTATTTATTTTTAGTTGTAGGTGGACACAATACCTTTATTTTGTATATATTCACATGTAGTGCTGAGGATCGAACCCAGCGCCTCACATGTGCTAGGCAGGTGCTCTACTGCTGAGCCACAACCCCAGTCCCTAGATGCTTCTTTTTTGATGACATCTTTGCTGATTCCTCTTTGTCTTCCAGCCATCTTTGAGTCCCTTCTCTTTCTACACTTGGATCATCTCCTGTAGCTTTAAATACCATCCATCTGCTGATAATTCTTAAATAATATCTTCAGCCAAGACCTTGCCCCAAATTAAGGCTGCCATGTTGAGCTGCCTGTGGGATGGCTGCACTTGATGTCAAACAGGCATCTCAAGCTCAATGTCTAACAATGAGCTCCTTATCCTCCTCCAAAACCTATTCCTTCCAGTTTCCCCTGCCTTAGCCAATGGCAATCCATCCTTCCATGGGCTTAAGGTCAAACTCTTGTAGTCATCCTTAGTGTCTTTCTCTCACATTCCATAAGCAAATTCTCCAAAATATACACAGAATTTGGCCACTTCTCACCATTTCCACCGCTGCCACTCTGGTCCAAGGTAACATCTTCCCTCACTTGGTGGGTCAATCAACAACATGTCTTCCCATATATCCTTCGGCTTCAGCCTTCCCCCCTTTGGTCTGCTCTCTGTATGAAAGCTGAGTGACCTGTAAAATCCAGTGTCAGATCATGTCATTCATGATACCAATGACAACCCCCTCATATCACTCCAGTCAAATCCAAGTTCCTTACAGTGTCCTGGGTGACCTCTTCCTTTGACATTGTAAACATGCTTCTGCTTCGAGCCCTTGCACCTGCTGTTTTGTGTAGGGATKGACAGGGGTTCTTGACCTTTTTTGTATGGTGGACTCTTTCTGAGTATAAGATCTTTTTATTTTTTAGATGTTTGTTTTTTTTTTTTTAAGAGAGAGTGAGGGGGGAGAGAGAGAGAGAGAGAGAATTTTTTAATATTTATTATTTTTTAGTTCTCGGCGGACACAACATCTTTGTTGGTATGTGGTGCTGAGGATCGAACCCGGGCCGCACGCATGCCAGGCGAGCGCGCTACCGCTTGAGCCACATCCCCAGCCCTATTTTTTAGATGTTGATAGACCTTTAGTTTTTTTTTATTTCCACGTGGTGCTGAAAATCGAACCCAGTGCCCCACACATGCTAGGCAAGTGTGCTACTGCTGAGCCCCAGCCCCAGCTCCTCYAAGATCTTTAAATTCAGTTTTAAAAAAAGTTCCATAAATTATAAAGAAAACCAATTTTATTGAAATACTACTCTCAAAAATATTTTTAAATGTATAATATAGTAATATATGTGCTTTATTAATTCATTAAATTGCAGCATAATGTTGAGGTAGTGATGAATGTAATATTTTAAGGTATTTTCAACAACTGTAATGTGATATGAAAATATCTGTGATTTTTACTAGCAGCAGTGTCACAGGTGCTGCTAATATCACTGATTTGTTATCTGCATTCATAATTGAAGAACTGCTATGTTTTAATTAGTGAAAATAAAGATGCAATTCTTTTTCTCATCAAAGGTGCTGACCCCCTGAGAACTACCCATTGACCTTTGGAAGGGAGGGTTCGTGGGGTCCAGGTTAAGAAGCCTGGGCTTAGAATGCTCTTATGCCCTCAATGTACCCTTATGCACATATACTGTCCCACACAACTCACTCCTCCTTTTGCTTAAGAATCACATTTCTGGTGAGGTCTTCCCTGACCATTCTACTTAAAATTATACCCTTACTCTCTCCATTCCCCTTTTCTGCTTAATTCTTCCCTACATCACTTAATTATTTTCAAACATATAGATTTTTAATTTATTTATTGCTATTTCCACTAGAAACAGACACTAGGCACTTGTCAAATGGTGACACATTCTAGTATGGTGTCTGGCATACAGAAGTCACTCAATAAGTACTTGTTGAAAATAAGTAATGATTAAATCTGTATGACTTGTGTCTTCTCATTTTTTTTCCTGCAAAAAGTTAATGAATGATTGGTGAGACTTTTAATAAAGATTAAGGAGTTATAATTATCTTCATCACTATAATTTTATTAACTTCCAATATTAACCTTAAACAGTGGCACAGAGCTGCAGGTTTCTTAGCATTCTGAATAGGCTTCCAGTCCTGTTTTCCAACAGGATGTTTTGGGGGCCTGGGTTTCACCCCATGTCAGGAACTATCTCTGATGCAAAGTGTCACTCATAAAGCTCTTTCTTGCCAAGGTAGCTAGCAGACTCCCCCAACTCCAGTCAAATAAATAATAGTAAGAATACTTTTTATTTCTGGCAACCCTATAAGTCAGCTACCACTTACTAGCTATGTAATTGTTGGTAAGTTACTAAACCTTTCTGAAGAGGTAAGTTTTTTTTTTTTTTTTTTTTTTTTGGTACTGGAGATTGAACTCAAAAACTAAGCCACATCCCCAGCCCTATTTTGTATTTTATTTAGAGACAGGGTCTCATTGAGTTGCTAGTGCTCCGCCATTGCTGAGGCTGGCTTTGAACTCACGATCCTGCCTCAGCCTCCAGAGCTGCTGGAATTACATGCATGTGCCATCGCGCCGGGCAAGATGGGATTTTTGTGGGGATAAAATGGAATGGCCCCCACAGGGTGTAGTATAGAGCAGGTGCTCTTTAAATGATCATCCACAACCTCTTCCACCTCAGCAGGTCACTTTATAACTGCTTGCCAATGCATTTTCCCATTCAAGTTCAGCTCCTGATGGCTAGGAGAAGGGCCGTGTCCTGTCTTCCAAGGCATGTTAACCTCCTACAATTTGATCCAACCAGAGCAGCCCCCTTTAGGACTGCCTCTATAAATTGATGCCTCCACTCTGATCCCGGACCTCCAACATGTGACTGAGACTGTTATCTGGACCTTGACCGTGAAGCCCACCATTTATCACAGTTTCCTTTCCTGACCCTCCTTGTACCCACACTGGGAGTTCCTGTACCCGTCCTCATAGAGGGAAAGACAGAAATCATCATCCTGCTGTTTTCAGGTGTGTAGTGCTTTCAAAGAGGGCTTTCACCCTTCCCCAAAATATGTAGGTGCCGCACTGCGGCATGTAGGCACAAGGTAAGAGAGGAGAGGGTATGTGTGACAGCTCAGTGGTAGAGCATATGCTTAGCATGTGCAAGGCTCTTGGTTTAATTCAAGCACCAAATACCAACAAACAAAAAGGGGGAAGGGTCAAAGTACTCCCATGCACCATGCATTTGAGTCTGATTCTGCTTTACCCACACAGCATGTATACATGCATATTTACATATATGTATATATGCACACATGGCCTCAGGAATCTTCCACCACTTCATTATAGGAAGAGGTAAAACAGACCCAGAGAGATGAATCCACTGACCCAGATCACACAGCTTCTCAACTGCAAAGTCAGGAACTGAACCCTCCTAGCCTCCAACACCTGTTTCCAGGCGTTTACCCTGGCCTGGGAAAATCCTACCAACCGACCACTGTGAGCCAGAGCCAGGTCTAACTTTGAGGTGGCACCCAGTCCCCTCTTCTTGCCAGATAAGCTGCCTCATACTTTGTGAATGAAGGCCACAGAAGAGAAATGTTGCAGTGACTCCCTTTGAGCTCATATTTCTTTCTTGTTGCAAAAAGTGCTTATTTCAGCACTCATCATCTCCCTCTTTGTTGTGTAGACAATCCGCCCTGTTGGATTTGAGCTGTTATTATGAGTTTGTTTATTATTAGATTTATTTCTCCTATAAGCAAATGTGTTCACAACAGTCCATGGGGGAATCTTCTTAATTGTCACATAAATGTCATCTTATGTAAATTGAATATTTATGTTTTCATGGAAGTCGGTGGAGGGAAAAGGAAGAATAAACAACCTTCAGTCTTGGAGAGGGAAAGGGATTCACAACTCACCCACATGCCTTCAAAACCAAAAGGTGAGTTGCAAAAATCATTGGATCATCTTGGAGGGGCAGCCAAGAGAGCGGGGGTGGGGTGGGGTGGAGAAAAAGCTGGCAACTATGCCATGGGAATATTGGGCTAGCCTCCCGGATCTCCCCAAAACCTCCAGCCAAGACCAGACTACTTCGCTGGTTGAGGCATTTCGAGGAGGCTGAAGGTTGCCCCCAACCCTCCCCATCCAAGAGACAAGCCCTTCTCCTTCCTAGAGAGAAGGTGAGCGTGGCGGGCGCAGCGGGTTAGGTGGGTGTGGTCCGCAGCTCTGGGAACCGACCCAAGGCCCCGCCACCGCCGGCTAGCCGCCCGACAGCCCGCCCGCCTGGCGAGCGCAGGCTCTTCTTCCAGAAACTGCGAGGATCCAAGCGCACTGTTTGTGCACCACAAGGTCAAGTCGGGAAGTGGAGCCGGCGGAGGAGGGGCGATGAGGCGAAGGGTGGGGAGGGGGGAGCCCCGCTTCTTAGCCAAGTGCCAGCCCTTGGAAGTTGCCCCTCTGTTGTTAACCCTTTAAGGGGAATGGGCGGGACGAGCAAAAGGGAAGGGGTTGCCCCGAGGCAAACTCCTTCTGGACCCAGGACGTGCAATCACCCAACCACCCATCACCGCGTTCTTCACCCTCCGGAAATAGGGGGCAGCTCCGGGCGCCTGGAGGCACCCGAGAGGGGGGAGGGGGCGACGAGCCCTAGAGGGACCCTCTCTACGGACCGCCCCTCTTTCCGTGAGGTCGCCTACAATTTCAAGTTTCCCCTGCCCGGGATGTTAGTTTCCATTTGGTGTGGGTGGGCGACGAAGGCTGCGCCCCCTCCCCCAGACTAGTACGCGCCCCTCCCCTCCGCTCCTGCCAGCACTTTCTGCTCACTTCTGGCGCTGTAAAACGCCACGCGATTTATTTGATTCACATTTTAAAACCAGCGATTCGGAAACGGGGCCAAGGGTGAGGGTCTCCCAGCCCTGGAGTCCCGGGGGGCGGGGTGCTCAGTGCAAACCTCGTTTCCTCCGCGAGTGTCGCCTCCAGGCTGTTATTTGCAAAGAAACGTCTTTTTGACGCAGGGAGAAATGGCAAATTTTAAGTACGTCATTAATATGGCGCCAAAAGATTTTTTTTAAGTATAAGCTTGCTATTTTTTTTTTTAAGGTTGCGGGGGGCGCCGCCCGGGTCTGGGGCGCGAAGGAGGCGGGGTGTGAGCAGAAAGTGTGAGTGAGAGAGTGGAGGGGCGGGGTATGTGTGTGAGTGTGTGAAGTGTGAGCAGACCTGATGGGACTTGCACGGGCGCAGCCGCCGCTCGGGCCCGGCCCTGGGGACAGGGCGGGCTGGGGGCGCCCCAGAGTGCTTGAGTCGGGGCCCCGCTGCAGGCAGGCGGGGGCCGGGCAGGGCACCCTCCCCCCCCCCCCCGGGGGCCCGCAACACTACCTGGAACCGCCGCGGGAGCCAAACAACTGGGCGAGGGGGGGGCGGTGACGGGGGGTGTCGGGAGCGGAGATCCGAGTGAATAAGAAAAAAGTGGCTACTCCCCCTCCCTCGCTCCTCCTGCCCGCCCCCACCCCACCCCCACCCCAACACATTTTTTTTTTCTAAAGAGATCACAAGGAAGTCTTGGTTTAAAAAGAAACAGAAACATACACAGGGGGTTGGTGAATGGTGCCGACCGCGGCCATCGCAGTTGGAGGCTATTTTTTTGGGGGGTGAGTAGCGTCCATGGAGTTACTTTGCTCCCACTCCTAGCGGCACCAGCTCGAGTCTGGCGGGCTAACCGTCCCCAGCAGGAGCGCGGGGCTGGGGACGCCGCGGGCACGGCCGCCTCCCTCGCCACGACCCCGGATGGATGCGCGCCCCCCGCCCTCCCGCGCCGGCCCCAGGAGCTCCTGGTTTCGGGAGCATCCTTCCCGCGCCGGCCCCCGCCGCGGCGCGTAGCCGAGGGCAGCGCCCCTCGGGAGGGCACCGCGGAGCAAGGTAAGATCCAGCCCCCGGTGGCTGGGCCCTGCGCATCTCCACGGCATTATTTTGTGTTTTTGCAACAGATCTGCTAGCGCTCCTCGCTCTCTCTCTTGCTCGCTCGCTCCCTCTCTCTCTTGCTGGCTGCCTGTTCTAGGAAGCCAGCGCGGGGGGTGGGGGGGATGCACAGCACTGGGGAGAGAGATTGCGCATGTTGGTCAGTCGTTTAAAGAGTACGGTGCGGGGAGGCTGAGAGGGGCGCATGCAACAACTTTTGGAAGGGTGAGCCTGGCGACCTTCTTTATTAATGACTGCGGCAAAGCGCCCCTGGGCCGGCGAGGGGGCGCGGGAGGGCGGGGGCGCGCGGAGGTTGCAACTTGCCCCGCGGGCTCCGGCCGGTTGGAGGGGCTGCGGCGGGAGAGGGGTGCGGGGGGAGGCCGAGCGTCCGGGGTTGGGGATTCGGAGAACCTGGAGCTATCTGCCCTCCTGAGTTTCATTTTGTTGATACGCAGCACGTCCAGCCGCCGAACCGGGCTGAGCTGGTGCACATGACCCGGCGCTGGGCTCACGTGCAGCCGGTCCGGTCCCAGACACCTTCCGGGGGCCACCGCCTCCGCCCGGCGCCCCCTCTCCGGGCTGGGTGCACGCGGGCGCTGCACGCGGGGGCAGCATGCTCGGCTCCTGGGCTCAGAGGCTCTGCACAAATTAGACAGTTTTTTTTTTTTTTTGGAGGGTCTGGGGACACCCTTTACAGGTGAGTGTGGAGGGTGCGCAGCCTTGGCGCCTGGGGCTCGGGCTGGGGTCGGGGACAGGCCCCCCCACCCCCAGGGCTGCGCGGGAGTCCGGCGGGGGAGAAGCGCTGGGAGAGTGGAAATGTACCGGCGGCGGCCGGAGCGGCGGGTGCGCGCCCGCGGGGCGACGGCAGGGGGCGTGGCCCTTGTTTACCTTCTCCCAACTCTGCCGGTTCGCGTCCCGCTCCAGGGACAGCTCCGCAGTCCCCTGCCCTCCGCCTCCGCCCTTAGGCCCTGGGTGATAYGGGGAAGGTGCTGACTGGCAGCCGACCCTGGCTGGGATGCACACACCTGACCCCCAAATGAGCGACATTGCAGCCCCCGCCCCCACCGAGCACTGCTGCAGTCCCTCCGCCGGATCCCCGGCCCCGCCCCGCCCCCGGCAGTGGCATCTTCCCGGCCTCACCTCCTTCCTCCCTCTCCCTCCCTCCTTCCCACCCACTCGCCTGCGCCTGCGGAGCAGCTCCCTCCCGCCTTCTCCCCGCCTGGGTGCAGACTTGTGGCTCCCCGTGGTCCCTTCCCGCCCATCCCTGGGTCTTGAGGCACCCCTTCTCAGGCCAAGGGATGAGAAGGGGTCAGCTTGGCCATTCGGAGCTGTTCCGCCGGAGGATGTCTGTGAGACAGGCAGGAAGCCTTCACTCTAGCTTCCAGAGGCCCAGCCCCCCCAACCCTGTCCCCTACTACACACCGCTGCCCCGCTCTCCCTCCCCAACCCCCACCTCTGGGTCTCCAGTGCCCTTCCCGGAGTCTTCTAGACCCCTCCCCCGCCAGGGGCGACAAGCCCACCCACCTCCCGGCGCCGCCCCGGGTCCGAACCGCCTCTTGCCCTTCCTTCGCCTGGGCTGGAGCACCCCGCAGCTACCTCCGGCTCCTCCTCCAGGCTCCCGCGGTCGGAATCACGCCGGCGCGCCTCCAGCCTGCGGTCCCGCGTACTGCCTCCAGGGGCGGGCTGGAGGCGCGCACAAGCCCCCTTCTAATCCCCTTAGCCACTGCCGCCGGGCCGGGGCACTTTTTTTTAAGGGCTTGGCCGCCAACCTCGTGCTGGGGGCTGGGGAGGGGGAGGGGCGCCAGCTTTCTTTTGCCAAAGGCAGTTTGCAACCCGCATCCTTGGTCTCTGCAGATTTCTAAACCACACCCCTGCATCTAGCACCCCCGGCTGGTCTTTTACGGTTCCAAGGCACAAAGTTTTATCCAGAGGCAGTTTGTAGGGGGTCATCCAGAGGGGTCATGTTTGTATCCAGAGCAGTGCCAAAGGATCTAGAAGGGTCTGAGCCCCTTCATTGAAAGAAAGAGGACCCCTGAGCCCAGATAAACTGGATAATCCCTAAACTTTTATGTTTGCAAATCTAGTCCCTGGCCTTGGGAGGTGGTAGGATCTCCTGGCCCCTCCTTCCAGAGTGGCACTGACTCCCTTTTTCACTGGTAAAATTCCCAGTAGGACATTTGGCAAAAGGGCCAGGCAGAGATCTGCCAACCGGGCCTGGCCCTGTTTCCTGGGTTCCCAGGGTGCTGGGTTCTCCGGTACCCTGACTTCCTTTCTCACCTTAGGGCCCCAAACGAATGCACTATCCCTCCTGTCTTCTTCAGGCGGGTTGGGACTCGCAGGGAGATCTACCAAGCAGAGGAGGAAAATAACAACAGAATAACTGTAAGGGGGGAAGGAATGAGTAATAAAGCTGACCCAGGCAGGGAGGAGGGCTTTCATGTTTAAGCGATGCTATTTGCTTTTTAGGTCACAGGCTGCAAAAACAGGCTTTGATCCGAAGTGGGCGAATAATTTATTGAGAAAGTTAGCATGGTAGGGGGAAAAAAAAAGGAAAGCTTGTTTGATCTGGAGCCTTCTCAGTTGTCCCAAGTGCTGCTGGCTGTTGTTTTGAGTGGAAAAGCATTTAGTTCCCCAGCAAATGCCTCTCAGAGGGAACTCCTCACCTCAAGCAGAGAATGTTGGTTTTGCAACTGTTTGACCAAGGGTCTTCCCAGCACTTTTGGAGATGAAGTGTTTAAGGACTGAGTTGTTTGGGCTCTGGATGAAGCAGATGTTTCCAGAATGTTTTCCTATCCAACATGCTTTTCCTTTCCTTAAATTGCCTGGTTAGATGGCCAGTAACATACATGGAAGAGACTGTGGGAAATCCCATCCACTTAGCTCTCATTGACAGGTGATGGAGGGACTGCTGCTTCTCAGGTCCCACATGCACTTTGGAGTCTTGAAGTTAGGCTTCTGACACTGACTGCTACATCTTTGAGGTTGTGGGCAGGGTGTTCTGGTTATAACCATTGTTTCTGTTAATAGGGAGGTGGTTGTTTTTATGCTCATTACCCGGTCAGAGACTTCCTTGCAGTAGGTTGCTTGGGAACCTGACAGTTTTTTTAATAGGTTAGAATTGAGGAGAGGATACCCTGCCTTACCATGTCCCCCCTCTTAGCCCCCCACCCATGTGGCTCAAAAGCTTACAACTGCAGGTCCCAACTAAAAACTTAGGACCCCAGGGAGGTTGGTCCTGGGGCTCTAGATCGTCCTCCTCTCAGTACTAGAGAATAACCCTACCCAAACTCTGCAAATTGGAGATCTATATATTCACATTAACCTTTTGGGGATGGATTATCCCCTCTGGAGTTACACAGCCTAGATTTGAACCCTGGCTGTCTGATCATCTGCTTTGATAATGGTTCTGGGCCTCAGTTTCTTCATCTGCCAATGGGATTGAAACACTTGAGGATCCCGAAAAGATTTAAGATGCACAGGCCTATAATCCCATCAACTCAGCTACTCCCAAGGCTGAGCCACAAGGAGACCAGCCTGGACATTTAGTATGACCCTCAGCAATTTAGTGAGACCCTATCTCAAAATTAAAAAGAGTTGGAGATGTAGCTCAGTGACAAAGCACTCCTGGGTTCACTCCCCAGTACTAAAAAGAAAAAAGAGGGTGGGGGAGGACTCAGCCCAGAACTGGTAAAGTGCTTGCCTAGCATGTGCAAGGCCCCAACACTGGGGAAAAAAAGTCTAAAACGCAAAGCTAGGCATGTGGTAAGCACTTGATTAGCATTAGCCATTCTTACTGTTATTACTAATGACCTGGGCAGGGTCTCAATGCAGCTTTGACCTGTTCTCTCACCTTTAGGCTAGGCCAGAGAGCCAGCTCCCTTCTCTAAAGAAGAGGTCTGAAGGATCCTGCAGATGCCACTGGGCAACCAGATCCTGGAGCAAAGGGATGGAGCTTTGTCCTTTCTGAGGTGAAGAATAGGGTGAGGAAGTACTAAAAGCAAAGTCCCTTTCATTCTTTGGAGGGTGGGTGTAGGCAGCACATTTTAGGGAAGCTGGGTCTCTCTAGGACACTTGGAATTGCAGGTGGGCAGCGATGGTGTTAGAAGGTTTGAGCTTCCCTCGCCTTGGAGAAGCAGGGTTGAGGATTGCAGGCAGCAGCTCTCTACCTCGTGTGCACAAAATCATTTTTGTAACTGCAATTTACTGTCCCCTAGAAGGCATTAAAGTTAATGAGAGATAGGAAAGAGTGGGGCTCTGACCCCCATTTTAAGCAGTTTTAAAAGTGTGCAGCTCTTGTTTTCTGAATGTCTGGCCTTCCCGACACAAGGAGGCTCTGAGGACAGGTTTTCCAGCCGAAATATCATTAAATTGTATTAGCATCTTATTACACACACGCCTTAGCGGTCTGCCTCAGACAGGGAGAGTTTTTGTTTCTCTTTGAAAGATTGTGTCTGGAATGGTAAATTGCCTGCTTGAAAGCCCTTTCCCCCTTTTTTAGGGAGGAGGACGAAATCCTGCTGTGTGTGGTGGCGGGCAGGGCAGGCCTGGTGGCCCCTGGAGAGGAGAGGCCGGAGGCCAGATTGGGGTGTTTTAACTGCCCAGGGAGGATTGCAGTAGCAGACCTGAAAGGCCCACTGTTCCCAGGGTCAGCTGGAAGGGCGTTAATGGAGGCCCAGGGTGTTTATTTGAGTTTATTTGCGGAGAAGTCTTTAAAGGGGGCTGGCATTGGGTGGTGGTGTTCCAAGGCCAGACCTGAGGCCCCCACTAAGACCAATAGCTAGGGCTGCCAAGAAAACATCTGCCACCAAATTGCTGCTCTATTACTGAGTTGACATTGATCATTAGCCAGGAGCCCAACCAAATAAAGCCCCGTGGAAAATGTGTGAGGTCAAGACAGGGAAGGCAGGCTGTGAAAATAGGACGGAATCTTGGGCTGGGGTGTTTGTTCCTGCAAGACACAGGCAGGCCAGCTGGGCTGTGTAGTCCCGACACTTCCGAAGGGGACAAGAGCACACTCAGCACTCCCTATTATGAACTGGTTACCTTGTGATGGGGTTGCTGGGGCTCCTGCAGGGATCTAGACAGACATGCTCCTTACACACTCACAAGGAGGACAGCCAACAAGTAGCTCAGCCAACACGACTGTGATGGTTGCCCTGGAGACCTTGAGTGACTACATGGTCAAGTTCTTTAGATAGGGTGACACAGGTGATGTTTAAACCCAAACCTGGAGAGTAAAGAGTCAGACATGCGTAGACCATATGAAACATTCCAGACAGAGGGTACAGCTTGTGCCAGGTCTCGAAGCCTGGAATCTTTGGCTTGTTCGAGGAAATGAAAAGAGGCCCATGTGGCTATAAAGTGGTGAGGAAGGGGATCATGGTCAGTGTGAACTTGTCAAAGTGGGCAGGAGCCAGATTGTGTAGGCTCTTGTGGTCAGGAGCTTGCAAATGGTCCTTTGATCAGGAGGAAGCCTTTGAAAGATTTTCAGTAGGGGCATGCTGTGATCTGATTCGTGCTTTTTAAAGATCACTCTGGCTGCTGTGTGGAGTCCTGGATTATGGGGGGACAGTGGTGAAAGCTAGGGAATGAGCAAGAGGTCCAGGCAAGACTCGAGATGGGTTTAGATGGGAGTGGTAATAATAGAGGTGGGAAAAAGTGTATTCTGGGGGCAAGCCCATGGTTCCTGCCAGGGTTTGACTGTGGGGTGGAAGATGCACAGAGAGACCGGGCCCCTTTGAAGGTGCTCTAGGGCACACACAGTCCTGAAGGAAAGCTTCCAGCCTGGGTCACTTTTGGGGATACTGTAGGAGTTGTGAATGGCAGGGAAAGGAGATGCTTCTTTTCTAGACTGTCCTTTATAGATTAGGTTTCATGTTTTGCCCCTAAAAAGTAAGAGCCTTGTGATATTGAGGTCATCTCCCAGAGCAGACTTTGCTCTTGGGAGAGGCTAGAGGGACCAATAGAAAGAGAAAATCAAAGGCCAAGGTGAAGTTCAGCACTTCCACATCCTACTTGCTTTTGCATCTTCAGGTCTGAGCTTTGAAAATGGAGTCCTCTCGGCCCCTTTTGTTGAGATAAAGGAGAGGGTGATTTGTGGGGCTGGCTCACAGGGGCCAGGACTCATTTGAGGCTTTGGTAGGCACTGTGACCGGGGGCTCACTTGAGGCAGGGAGGCCTTTGGCATGGACTTAGTTCAAAGGAAAGAAGCTTTACTCACAAAACAGGGAACTCTGAAGCCTAGTTATTATTCCAATTAAGCTACCACAAAATCTGTTCCCTAATAACTGCCTCCAGTGGGGCAGCCCCAACCAGGAGAATAATCCCTAGTTGCTCTTCGGATGTCCTTATGAAGGACAGGTTAGATGGGGAGGTGGCTTAGATGAGGTGTGGGTCTACCTGCCTGTTGGTCCTTGGGCAGTAGGACATAGCATTGTGAGACAGGTGTGGGCAATCAGAGAAGTCTGCCGGGGGCCCCTTCATAATATATAGTGTCATTGCTCTTTCTGTTCAAGGGGGTCCCAGGTGGTTACTGGCAGGATTCTCTACCCTAGTCTAAGGCTACCATGGTATTAATATCTAGCATCTGCATGGAGCTCCAGCCCCACTGTACCAAGGGCTGTACTTTGCTCTCATTTTGCCTCGCTAACTGATTCTGGCCCATGAATGTGTTCAGTTTGGCCCTCTCAAAGTGTTTTAAAAATTTAAAATGTTGCCAACATTTTAAATTCAGGAGATCTTTGTGAAAATCTAGATCCAGTTTACCTCCTAGAAATTATGGGTCTTTGCCAAAGTTCCTGGCCTGAGAAGTGATAGGGCTAGGATTTGAATTCAGCACCCCTGAATCCACAGTTCCTGCTCCCCACATCATGGGCCTAGGGATGGAGCCCAGGGTCTTAACACATGCTAAGCATAGGCTGTACCATCGAGCAATACCTTGAACCCCCACAGCTTTGGCTTTTTTTAATGCTGTAGGAGCCCCTGGTTTGGAGGTACTACTCTCTTTGCTAAAAACAAAAGAAATGGAATTCCTGCACAGGATTGCAGGAGGATACAGGTGGATGTATTTATAGCACCTTTCCCTCTTCTACCCCACCAGTGGCAGGGCTGGGCCTGACTGGACAAGATGTGGGCTAGCATCTGGGTTCTATCAAAGTCACCTTTACACTCTTGACACTGACCCTGGAGGACATGGAGGGTCGCAGCTGTGGTTGCTTGGCTGCTTGCTCTCTGCTGCATAGAGGCGAAGAAGTCTGAAGGTCACAATAGCATGGTCTCCTGTGTCAAATACAAGCACTGTCTTCTTGACCAAGTCACCCCATCTCTGTGCTTCAGTTTCCTCATCTGTAAAAGCAAGACAGTCATCTTATTCACCTGCAATTAAGGGCTCTTTGGAGTGCTCAGTGAGGGCCCACCAGAGTATCCTCTCCTGCCCCAAGAAGTGTTTAGCGGCCTTGTCATTGCTACCTCCTACATCCCTGCTGCTTGCACTACCAGCTATCCCTGGGTCCCTCACCTTCTGGAGAACACTTTGCACCTTTGGAGCTGAGCAGCAAGTAGCAATTTGAGCCTTCCTGCCATTCTGTTGAGGGACACCTCTCTCCACAGAGGTGGAGAGAAGCTCCTAGCTAAGGTCATGTATGAGGGAAAAGGGTCATCCTGGTCCAGAGATCTGGGTAGTCACCTACTAAGTAAATGGTCCCTGTCTTTGTAGGACTGCAGTAAGAAGGGGGCACCCCTGGGCTTAGTAGGATCACTAGGGTTAGGGCAGTGGGTCATCCGTCACAGGTAGGTCCCCAGGAAGGGGTAGAGAGGCTAATTGGCTTACAGATAGGCTGGGCCACAGGCCATGCTTCCTGAAGACAAAGACTCCCTCCCTGTCTTTGGCTGTGAGCAATGAGGCCATTTATAACTAACAGGAGTATGGCAGGGTGGAAAGTGAAGCTGGATCCTGCGCTTCATGTGAAGACTTGGGCCGCAGAGCATTAGTGACACCCTGAGCAGGTTATCAAGCCACCCAGGGCTCTGCGGGATTAAGAGGAAGAAGTGGATGAGAAAAGGTTTCCAATTAGCAGAATTGATGGTTTGCACATGGATAGCTCACGTGGCTCCAGGATCAGACCTGCATTCAAATCTCAGTTCAGCCAGTTACCAGCAGGCAAGACGCTGAGCCTCGCCTGCAAACAGAGCACAAGATATTGTAGATAAGGGCAACCCTGAGGCCTGTGTGCAAGAGCTGCCCTTGGTATCTTGAAGTTAGGTATTCCTATTAAGATAAAGTGAGTCTGTATTTTTAATCTGGGGAGGACAGTGAGGGATAGGAGAGTTGGGCAGTCCCACCCAGGGCCAGTCACGGTTGGTCTGTATCTCAGGGTCCTACCCCCATCCTGTTTCCTCATCCTGCTGGCCGCCACTCTCAGGATTGTGCCCTCAGTGCTGGCTTGTGCCTTGCTTAGATAGCTAGTGCTCATGAAAGAATCAGTCTTGCTTTCTCTCCTCTATCTCCTCACCCSCTGTGGGATTGCCCGGGACACTCAGAGGCCTCTGTGGTGTGCGTAGGTTTTCTGATGGGCCTGAGTTTCATTGAGTGGATGCTGGGACTGGACAGGTTATGGTCACTGTTCAGTTTGGAGCTGCTGATCCTATTAGTTCTCCCTCTGTCCTCTTTGGCCAGACTTCTGATCATCCCAGCTGCTGGGCCTCTACAGATGGGTAGGGACAGATTGAGGCTGGCTGAGAAAAACACTAGGAAGGGCTGAGCCTCATTCTCCTTCTTCTGCATGGAAGGGAGTGTGGGGAGGTAGAGAATGGGGTGGTTAACTAAAAGGTTGAGGATTTTCCAAACCTTGCATGAATATAATGGATCTGACTTCCTTTTGTTGCAGATGGAAGAGAAGAGGCGAAAATACTCCATCAGCAGCGACAACTCGGACACTAGTGACAGTAAGGCCTTCCAATTCGCAACTCCTATAGGGGAAGAATTTGAATGATGATCAGGCCCACAGGCCCGGGTGGAAGGAGTCCACCTCGTGGTCTCAGCTCAATCCAGGGCATGTTGATGAAAGCATAAATCAAGTCAGATCCCTTTGCTCCTGAGATAGTCCCTGCACCTTACTGTGGCCTCCAGGGCCCCCTGTCTCCTTCATGCTACCTGCCTCCACCTCAGGTCTTATCTTCATTTGTTTTGCTGTGGTTGGAGCAGATCAACTCCCTTTGAGGCCTTTGCATTTGCTACTTCTGACTGCTAGAAGAAAAAGTTCCTCTCTTTGCCCTTGCTGTGGAATCAGGGCCCTTTTKGGAAGTCCCTACCTCACAGATAGAAAACCTGTCACTCTCCATTATAATTATCAGATAAGTATCATTTTCTAACCAGAGATAAAAGGGCCTGTTTCTTGCTCAGTGCTGTATCCCCAATTCTAACTCCCCAGATTCTAATTCTGGCATATAGTAGGTGCTTAGTAAATATTGGCTAAAGAAATTAATGAAAAATAAAATACATTAAAAAAAAAGAAAGAAATTAATGAAAAAACCCAACTTTCATGGGATCTTGGCAGTAGAATTGCAGGCTTATGCTCAGGATGGGTGTCATTTGGGTGTCTTGGTGGGGCAGTCATGTTGTGAAGGAGATAATGGGGTTTAAGGAGCCTTCTCTGAAGTTTGGAGCAGAGAAGGGAAGGAGGTTCATGCCAGGGGAGAGCCGTTCTCCAGTCTGAGGTTATGGGCTGCTCCTCTCAGATAACCCAGGAAGCCAGGCCCTGCTCCCTGGAGTAAGGAGTTCCATCTACCACGGGTTGGAGGGATACACACACAAGAAGATCCCACCTAGCAGCTGTCACCTTGGTGGAGGCCCAGGCTAAGAAAGAGGCCATACTGGCAGGGCGGCCAGGCCTGATGCTCTTTGCCTCTAGACCTGATTTCTCATGCAAACCTTTGTGGTTAGCAAATAGATTAATGGGATCTCCTAGTTCCCAAAGCTCCACATCCCCCAAGAGCCCAAAGATAGATGCACTAGGATGGTCATTCAGGTTCCAGTCCCTTTCCAGTGTGCAGGGTCTCATTCACTGTCCTTTGGGCTTGACCCTTGTTTCAAGCTGGCCCATCCCCCTATGTAGCAGATTACAGCAGCTGCCCTTCTGTGGCTGCAACACACTACTGTGGCCTGGCTCAGTAGAACCAAGAACCATGTCCTCTGCTTCTACCTTTGGTGTAGGCAGAGGAACCCTTTGAGAGGGCCAGGCACCTGCAAGGGCAGGCATCTGGACAGCTGAGCCCTGTAGCTGCACCAGGGTTGGCCAGACCTGGGCTTAAATGCTTCCCCACCAGCTCCTGTGCCCACTGTGGTTGGCTGTTTCTGTTCAACCAAAGCATTGGGTTTCTCTGTGGCCCCTCTTGTTGCTCTTCTGACTCACAGGGGAGGAGACACAGTGCTATAGTTTAGCAAGGACCTTAGACCCGAATAGTAATTAGAGTCCCATGTTTATCACTGTGTGCCAGGGACTGTGCTAAGACTTCAAAGGCAAATCAGTCAACCCTGAAAGACAGTTCATCTCAGACCCCTGTGTTAGCTTCACCTCACTATTAGAAGTACTTGACATAATTAACTTCTGGAAGGAAAGGTTTATTTCGCTTACAGTTTTGGAGATTTCAGTCCAAGATTGATTGGCCCCAGTGACCTAAGACTCTCCCATGAGGCACCATCTAATAGTCCTAATAGTGCCATCCTGGGGACTAAATCATTTGCCCATGGAGATAAGCTATTAAGAGGCTATATCAGGTATTGAGCCTCATGGTCTCTGGGTCTGACCACTTCTGAGGATCACTGCTTCCTGCTGCCCTGCCCTACTCCGAAGACACCTAGGCATCTTCCCAGAGAAGCATCATGTTCTTAACCAGCCAGAGAGAGCACAAAAGGCTTGTTCCAAAGAGGCAGGGACTTATTTGGGGTCACAGGGTAAGCTAGCACAGAGCCCCTTATGGGAGGTGACTGGTGGAGGGCTTATGTCCCCATTCAACAGTGGAAAGGCTGAGGCCCAGAGCAGGGACAGAGGTCCCCGTCTGATAATTTAACCCAGAGCTTTCCTTGTGGGCTTCCTGTAAGGCAGGTGGTGTTCCTGGCCCTCCAGGGCTGGTCTCCCTCATGGGCTATTCTTTCTCTACAGGTCACGCTACATCTGCATCAGCATCAAGATGCTCCAAACTACCCAGCAGCACCAAGTCCGGCTGGCCCCGGCAAAACGAAAAGAAGCCCTCAGAGGTGGGTTGTGGCAAGCTTCAAGCTTCCCAGAGAACATGAAGCTGRGGTGGGGAGGTGACTGGAGACCTGTGGGGAGTGAGAGAGTGAACCATGCCTATGTGGCAGGGGAGGGGAGGGGGGCATTCCTGGCACAGGGCCCTGAGCATTCTGCAAAGGGAGGCCAGTGTGACTGGGTGGAATGAATGAGGGGGCCAGTTTACCTACGCCTCCTAGGTTGTTGTAAAGCTGTTCCTGTTGATCTGAGAGGGAAGCCTTTCAAGGATCATAAACAGGATTATAACATAGCCTGATGTTTTAATAAAAGGTCCCAGTGGCTGCTGTGAAAGGAAACCATTTGCAGTTGTTCAGGAGAGAAAGGAACACTGATGGCTTAGAGCTGGGTTGTGGCAGTGGAGTAAAAAGCAAGAGGATTTGGGACATTTTGGAGGTCAAGCCAAGGGACATAGGATTTGCTGGTGTGGAGCCGTCTACCTAGGATCATTTCATATGCACCTGCACTTGCCTTCCTGGCTCTGACCTGGGAAGTTTCCCATAGAAAGTTGAGGTATTTGGCTTCTGGAGCAGAGAAGAGCATTGGGGATTAAAAAATAAAAATGGATATCAGCACCTGCTCCTGTGGCTCCAGAAAAGTCACGTGGGCTCTTACTGCTCCTTAGGGGGTAATTGTCATTGCCACTGGGTACAGAAGAGGCCTTTAGCACACCTGGGGCCCCCCAAGAGCATTCAGCAGTGGGCATTTCAAACCTGGCACTGTTCTGCAGTCTGTAGAGGAGACTGGGGGTGTGGACACTACCTTTTTGTGGGGGTTTGTGGGAATTGGGACCAGGACGCTCTACTCACTTGAGCTACATCCTTAGCCCTTTTAGTTTATTTTGAGACAGGGTCCCTCTAAGTTGCCTCGGCTGGATTCCTGAGAATTCTATTTTAGATAAAGGAAAATAAGATTCCCCTGGTCACAGGGAGGAGACTTGAAAACTTCAGGGCTAACAGTACCAAGGGTGGGAAGGCCCAGAGTTCTGTCACTGTGCCCTTTGTTTGGTGTGGGGGAAGGTGTCTTTCCAAGCCATCCTTTCTCCTCTCCTTTCCCCTACTACGGGGCAATTCCGGCGCCACCGCCTTCAGCCAGCCCCTGGGGGGTCTCCCACAGAGGCTTCCCTTTGAAAAAGGACTCCACCTACCGGAACTGCCCTAMCCTAGGGTTCTTCCCTTGGGCTGTGGGGTCCGAATACTTTGAAACCTTTTCCCCAGCCACCCCAACCTGGTGGCCTTCCATGGCCCTGTGGGTGTTGGGGTGGAGATGGACAGAGATATCTCTGGGAATGCTGTTTAGGAGGGGGAAAGTTCTGGGGTTTATGCAGGATGGGAGGTTGGAATGTGCCTACGTGCAGCCAGGGGAGCCAAAGGCAGGTGGGGCCTTGGGAGGGTCCTGCCTCCTGGGGTTGTAGGAGATCTTCCCCCACTCTCAAGATCCACTGTGGCTCCCCAGTTGCTAAGGAAGAATTAGCAAAATAGTGGCCATCTCTATGTGCCTTCTTGATTCTGGGAGGCAGGAAACGTCATGCCCGTTTTGGACCGGAGAACTTGCTTTTTCTGATAATCCTCTTAGTTACTGTTCTTAATAGCCCAGGTCGAAGTGGGGTGGGGGACCCCTGGGGCGGGCTCATTCCCTTGATTCCTGGATAAGCTCCAGCCAGTCTCCTCCCTTGCCCCGCCCCCTCCAGGCACTGGTGGGTGGAGGAGCTGCCTCCCTGTGGCAGGCCTGCCACCTACACCAGGATCAGGCATGGCTGGGAGGAAACAGGTGTTACTGAAGGCTGAGAATAAAGAACAATTTGCATGGGGCAGAAAATTCCCCTGCCTCTTGGGTTTTCCAGTCTAGAATCTTTGTATCTAAAAATAGAGTAGAACCATGATAAGGGCCCTGCTAGGGACTGGCTACACATAGGCCCACGTCCCAGACCAGGAGCCTCTGTAGGTGGCCTGGATTTCTGCTGGGATGCACCTCCCCCTTTCAAGCCCTGGGCTCCTGGAGGGCTGAGGAGTCCTCCTGGCCTTGAACTGTGGCCAAGGACAAGCTTTCCCTCTCCACAGAAGGCTGGAGAGCAGCCTTTGAGGTTTTCCTTGTCTCTAAGTGAGAAGGTTGAGTTGTGCCCAGCATAAATTCTGCAAGACAGAGAAGGAACCATCAATGAAAGCTTCCAGATTATTTGGCTCATGAGAAGGCAGAGAGGAAAGCAGGACTTGGCTGCAGAGTATTTGCACTAAATTTGCTCACTGGGCTGCTTCTTTCTCTTAATGGGCYGCAAGGGGAAGGCCTCTATGGTCTGCCCAGCCTGCAGGGTGTTTGGGGAACCCCAACTACCCAATGCCTATGGGGCAGCTGTCAAGCTGGTCACACTGTGTGATCACAGTTAGGCTTAAGTTCCTATTGGGAACACTTGCAAAGCCACAAGTGTGGTATAGAAACTGGTTGCAAAGCTGTGGAAGTCTCCATTCACTTGGTCTCTTAAATCTGGACAGTGATGGGGGGATTTGAGAACTCCAGTCTTAGTATTGCACTAGTTGTAGGTACATAGTAAACTCAGCTGCTGGGAAGTGCTGAGATTGGGTTTAGATGAGACAGGATGCTCTGTGATGATATCAGAGGCTGCTCTTTCCATTGCTCCCACTACCACCACCAGGGGTACAGGTCCTCCTAACACCCAGCAAGGTGCCCCAGGACTGAAGAAAGTGCTGACCAGGAGTCAGGACCCTGGACAGGGCTGAGGCCTTGAGGCCCAGCTTCTCATCTGGCCCTTACCCAATGGGTGGCCTCTCCCTCAGCYGGAAGGAAAGGGGAATGCAGACCTTGGTAAGGATGCCTGAATGAAAGGGCCCTGCGCTACCTGAGAAGTTGGGTTAGGATTATTGGTGGAAGCTCACAAAGTCTGAAGTCTGCCCCAGGACCCCTTGTGCTTTGAAAAAAAAGGGTGTGTGTGTGCTGAACCAGAAGGTTCAGCCTRCAGCTTGCTCTGTTTTGCCTGTCTGTGGAATCCCATCATAACAGAGATCTGGACCTTGGCCCTTGGCCCTTAAATCCTGAAGGAGGGAAAGGGATTGACCTGGCCTAGGGTCTGGTTTTATTGTGTAAATTCTGCTAAAACCTTGGGTTTCTGGCCAGGCCTGTCTCACCAAATAAGGTAGTCATTGTTGGTGCCTAATCCTTTGTGGGATGCAGCATCTCAAGGAATTGCATATTATTCTTTTTTACATTAATTCTCAATATATACAAAAGTCTTTTTTTTTTTTATTAGTTGCTCAAGACAATACAATGATCTTGACATATCATACATAAACACCAAAACCAGACCTCCGTCCAACTTTTTGCCTAGGTAATTCTAATTTAAATAGTCTGGGGTGGGGCCCCTGGTACCCATGCTTTTGTTTAAAAACAAAAAAACCCTGCTGTGAGCCACTGTGAGCACTCCAATCTTAAACTTTCCCCTCATTTGCCTAAGACAGGAGTTCCTGGCTTCTTCCCAAGAAGCTTCTGGGGGCAGGGGCTGAAAGCCCCCCCCCCCTTTTTTTCCACAGGTGCTAGGGGGATTGACTGGTTTCTGCCCTGCCTGAGGCRAGCCAGGACTGTGAAGGACAGTTCTTGAAGAGAACTGGAGGCCAGCCCTGTGGTTTATGTCTTCCCCAGGCCTTGGGCGGAGAAGCAGGCAGAAGGGCAAGCCAGACAGTGGGGATTTCCCCTCCTGAGGTAGAAAACTGTGTGTTCAGGAAACCAGTGTCCCCAGAAAGTCATCTGGTGGGCAGAGACATGGAACTGGGAACTGCCGATGCTCAGATCAGCAAGCTCGGGAGTGCCTAAGAGGCCTAGCTCAGTCCGCGGCCCTGTGCCAGAGACACAGAAAGCACAGCTCCTGTCCCTGGGGAGCTTGTCCCCTGGCTGCCGGCAGGATGCAGGTGCTGTACAGGAAAGTGTCCGTTAGAGGTGGTGCAGCTGGCCTTGCCAAAGGCTCCTGCTTGGCCACTGGGGAACACTGTGACCCTTGTCAAGTGACTGTCTCTAGCCTGAGGATTGGTGTTTGTAGATCTAGGAGTCTAACAAACCTGTCCTGCCATGGAATTTCTGTTGTGCTGATATGACTGTCTTTTCTGGGACCCATGGAGCCTGGGAGCAGGGGAGGTCCCAGAGGTGAGTGGGAGCCAGGGGTTGGAGGTGTAAGGTGAAGTAAGGCCTGGGGTCCAACTGTCAGCTCTTTTGTAGGCCCTGGTGACAAATTAGTATGTCCCTGGAGGAGGGAACAAGTGGGATCTTTACCTGTTCCACAGTGGCCCTTCTCTGATGCCCAGCTCCTTGTCCTCAGGGACAGGGACTGGGAGAGAGATGAAACAACTAAAGGGGTGTCCCCGAGACCTATGTCCTCCAAAGCTCCTATATAAGAACATCCCTCCAAAATATGTGGTCTCATGGCTTGACTCATTCTTTTAAAGATAAGACTTACCCCAGGAGAGGGGTGAAGGTGGGGGTGGCTAGATTGTCTTGGGGCTCAGAAGCACAGGAATAAATAAGAAGCATTCTTAGAGGAACAGAGATGTTACCCAGATGTTTGTATTAAAGCACGGATGGCCTGTGTTGTAGTKATATGCAGAATGTCCACAGACTTGAGAGAGAAAACAAGAGAATTCCCCAAAAGCCCCTGTGGCCGTGAGTCACATTTTAGTCCACCAGCTGCTGCTCCTTTGTGACCCTGACCTTGCGGGATAGGCAGCTCTTTCTGCTGGGCCAAGCGCTTGCTTTCTGAGTTTCAGCTCTGGAGTGGGGGAGCAGAATCCACTTCTAGTGTAGTCGGGAACATTGTTTGCTCCCGCCAGCTGGAAAGGCCTCCTGGCCTCTGGGATTTGTCTTGCAAAAGAAATGTGCGTAATAAATTCTCTTTAAGAGCAGGAAGTGCTGTTATCCTCATGAAAATAAGAGAATGAGATGTTGAGTGGGTTTTTTTTTTTTTCTTTTT